CTATCACTCTCTCCATCTCGTTTCCTCAGCAGCGATTTTTATGCGAACTTTATGAACTTCATAATACTCAGATGAGGGTACGTCTACTTTGGGTCGGGTAAGATACGTCCTCTCCATTAATTTCGTACTATGAATAGGCAGTTAAAGTGTTATCTGCAATACTTGCGCTTGCTCTAAAATTTCTAAACGCGCCTACTATTTGATCTGTGAGCAGCAACCACATCAACTCTGAATGGCCTTCTCGTAACTAATTTGTTGCTTGTCTTCTTTGGTCTGCAAATGAATAATGGTTGCATCTACAAAGCTTGACTATATTCCTTTGAGCCGCAGGTTGTTTCTATCTTAGGTATATGCACTACCTTCTTTAGCCCTCAACCTTTTTAATATGCGATCTTTGCTAACAGCAACCAGTTGCTAACAGTAAACAGTTGCTGTAACTCCTCTTCAATTGCTGTTGATACGTTGGCGATGATCGTGATCTGAAATGAAAATTTAAGAGTTATTTGTTGTTGACCTAGAAGACACGTCGCACAAAAAGTTGCAAGCTGATTGAACGGTTATATGCTAAAATATCATTTCTGGTTATTCCTAAAAATCCTCCCACTAGTGTGAACTTCACTTTTCTCTCAAAGTGATGATTGTGAAACTTCTAGGCTTCTCAATCGACACTTTCTTAACGCGTGCTTTTCTCATACTTACATACATAATCGAAAATTTCATAACTCTGACGCACAATTGAACCTTGAAGCATTTGTTAGCGCTACATGAGTAGCTTTAATAATCACTTGGACTATAATACATTTAATGCAGAATATTTACTATCAGTAGCGTAAATATACATACATACATATCTACATATATGTACGTATATGTATATGCAATAAAATCAGTTTTAATATCAATCTTCACGGATTTTTCAATTTAACATACACCCAAGTGAAGTAATCTATTGAAAAAAAAACCACCCCATAATAAATGCATATATGTTAATGTGTACATATGTATTGTATATGTAAATTTATTACAGCCATAAATAAATAAATTATGAAACACTTGAAATTTTCATCAATATTGTTAAAAGGTTATTGCTTTTTATAATCTAAAAATAGCATAATTACATATGTACTAGTATATACATACATACATACATACATACTGGTATAACTTTGTAAAAAAAAACACAAAAGTAGGGTATTGAAAGGCAGTTATGCTCTGCATTGTTTGCAATAATTTATTAAACAATTGTTTAATAACAATTTTTTTTAATTTTAATTTTAATGCAGTTTTTCTTTTATTTTATTTTGTTGTATTTTAATTGATTTAATATCATTTATTTAACTTATTTTATTGTATTTTTATTCTAGTTTGTTTTAATTTTATTTAGTTTCTAAATTTTATTTAATTCCAACCTATTTTCTATTTCTTTCTAGTTTAATTGTAGTTTTTGTTTTTTATATCTTTTAGTTATATACTTTTTTTTAATTATTGAATATATTATAATATTTATTATAATTAATTTTTTTTTATTTCAATTTTTTCTCTTCATTTTACTTTTATTTTATTTAATTTTTTTATTTGGTTTAATATTTTATTTTATTTATGCTATTTATTTTATTTTGTGCTATTTTATATTACTATAAATAAATCTATTTTTATTATATATAACTTTTTGTAGCTGATTTTAATTTTTTTTATATATTTTTAATTATTTTATCATTCAACTGTGTTTCATATTATTTTTCTTTTAAATTTTTTTTTATTTTTATTTTTGTCTTATTTAGGCTCTCAGCCTAAGTCCCTGCGCTAGCGTAATGTTTGTGGTACTAAAAAAACTTATTTATATATTGTCTAAATTTATCTATTTTACTTTATGTTATTTTTTATTTTATTTTTTTAATATATTTTGGATCTAGTAAAAAGTAATTCATTGCTTTTGAATTAAATTTTTGATTTTTAATTATCAGATGCTTCTATTGAGCCCATTTTTTCGCACCAGCCAAATTATTCGCCCTAGACAGGAACAGTTGATAACCTCTAGTTCCAGATCCGAACTGTAAGTTGAATGCGTACGAATCTTCCAACCGAGCTCTCGGAGTTGCTGGCCATACAATTCCTCTCCTCTTGGCTGGGCTGGGCTTCTGGGTGATTCGGACGGTCCAATTACTGACGGTTCGTTGTGGACAACTCTTTGCCGATCCCATATAACACAACAACACCTCCTGACCGTTAATCCTAGCTTGAAGATCGTTTGTGCTGGCTCACTGCCCTGCGACTATCACCGTTTTCATCACCAGTCACCATCCGATTTAGAAATGAATCGATTTTGTTAGGATTCAGTAGCGATTCGCTGATGGAAATTCAGTCCATGAGGTTTATTATCGTTAACTCAAGTGGCACTCAAACAACCACAAGTTGTGGCGTTTTTTCAGTGGTTCCGAAGTGTTTTTTGTGAAAGAGTCGACAGTTTCCATCATATTGTTGATATAACCAATAATTGGTCTTCCGCACTGTGAAACATCTTTTTGCCTCAAAATTACCGAAACGAAATCGGTGAACCCAAAATTGACTGTTGCAGTATCAGGACCATAAACCATATTCATATTTTCAGCTACCGAACTAGCGTTTTCGTTTTTATCGAAGAGAAATTGAGAACACAGGGCATCTTTGACATGCACTCAAACAGCACAGAGTTAAGGGATCAACTTTTCTCCCGTTATCTTTTTCTGTACAAAATATCATCTTCCTGACGCCATCTATCGATCCAATCGTACTTAAAAAAAGCGACATACAAATCATTAAAGCCATCCATTTCGAAAATAATAGAATACTTTTTACTATTCAAATATATGATTTTTCATTTCAATTTAGTTACTTTTTCATTTTTTATTCCATATTAAGGTTTTTTTTGTTCTATTTTTTCCATTTTATTTTACATTTTTACATCTCTCACTTCCTTTATTTTTTCATTTTGTTTTACTTGGTTTTATTTTATAATATTTCATTTAATTTAATTTATTTATTTTATTTTATTTATTTTCATTTCATTTAATATAATTAAATTTAGTTTTATTTTATTTTATTTTAGTTTATGTTGTATTATTTTATTTTTATTTTATTTCATTTAATTTTATTTAATTTTATTTATTAATTTTGTTTTATTTTATTTCATTTTATTTATTAATTTTTTGTTTATTTAATTCTATTTCATTTATTTATTTAATTTTATTTCCTTTCATGTCATTCAATATAATTTTGTATAATTTTTTTTATTTAGTTTAATTTATTTTGTTTTTATTTATTTCTTTATCTTATTATATTTCATTTCATTTTACTTTTTGTTTTTAATTTTGATTTGTGTTATTCTATTTTAATTTATTTTATTTTATTCAATTTTTTATATTTTATTTTTTTGTTATTCCATTTTCTTCAATTATTTTATTATATTTTAATCTATTTATTTTTGCTGCAATCATTTCATTTTATTTTTTATTATTTTATTATATTTTAATTTAATTATTTTTGCTGCAATTATTTTATTTAATTTTATAATATTTTATTATATTTTAATTTATTTATTTATGTAGTATTTATTTTATTTTTTGTTATTTCATTTTATTTTATTTCACTTAACTTTACTCTTTTCTTTTATTTAATTTCTTAATTTTTATTTGACTTTGCTATTTGATTTTACTTAAATTTCCAACGAAATCAGACTTTCACCTAATAAACAGTTATACGTTTTTTTTCTCTTTGCTTCATTCACCTTAAAATTTGTTTACTAATTTTTTTTGTTCAATTTTTGTTTTTAACCTGAGAGCTTCACACCTATGCTCTCCATCAAAAATTTTTTTTAAATTACCTCTTTTATATACTATAATTACAATAACCACTCTGATTGTCAAAAAAACCAACACATAAATACACATACATAAGTTTGTACCTACATATGTGTGTATGTATATTTGGTGTGCAAGGTAAATAAAATCGCGTTATGTTTGTACGCTTGCTAATGTGTAGATAACGTCTAGTATTAACTAGGCATAATTTCCAAGTTCAAGTTGAATGTGCTCGCATGTGTACATACAAATATACATATGTGTATATTGTATGTATGTACATAAGCACACAATTTATTTGTTTGTTTATTTGTATACTTGCGGGCGTCTATGCTGCTGGCGCGTGGAATTCAGTGACATGCAAAAACAAAAAATAAAAAAAAAACAAAAATCACAATTTCGTTCTACATTTGGTCCTTGGCAATGAACTTGGCGAAATTGCAAACAAACGAAAATAAAATAAAAACACAAATAAAAATTATCAGCAAACAAGTAATAAAACTAGAATGTTCGCACTTTTGGACATTACACATACAGATGTTTGTTTGTTTGATTTGCTTGTTTGTTTATAATAATAAATAGTATAGTAGATTTTTTTACTCTTGTAGATTCAGATTTTCTTAGTATTTTTTAAATTTATAAAACATCACGGTCAAATACCGAAAAATTCTATAAATTAAAATTTTATGCTCCGAAGAGTACACTTTCTGCTCGGCATAATACATATAGTATTTATCGACCTTAATTTATTACCTTATTAAAATGATTTTCCATTTATTTTCACGTATTTCATATTCACAAAAATCTTCTATAAAATACAGTTAAAACTAGTTAAGGAAGTTTCTCATCAGCATGACTTTCTAGCTTACCGAGGCGCTCGGTTATAGAGGTTAGGGCGAGCGAAACACTGTCATTTAGAGAGAGTCTTTCACTTACGAGCATTTAAATTTAATATTATTATTATATTTTTTAAGAAAAGAGGTAACAACACTGGAAGACTTTAAAGAAAATCTGAAAATTTTACAGTCCCCTGAAGTGCTTAATAATTTTATGAAATACTGCAGCTACTTCCTATATTTACTATACTAATTTGTTATTATATTTTACAATAAATAATCTCATTTATATATTTACTCATTTCTTGTTTTTCGTTTCTACTTAAAGGTCTGCAAATATTGGAATGTGCTAGCCTTGGACGGATCAAGTTGGCAGAAAATCAATCTATTTGATTTTCAACGTGACATCGAGGTCAGTTATACATATACATTTATTATTACATATTTATTATTTTATTTGAAATAAATAATTAAATTTTAAATTTACTTTCACTTCGCTATTTAGGGTCCAGTTATTGAAAATATATCCCAACGATGTGGTGGCTTTCTGAAATTCCTTTCATTGCGCGGCTGTCAATCAGTTGTTGATAAATCAATAAGGTATTTAACTTAAAAAATGTTTTGAAAATATGAAATTATGGTTTTTGATAAACATCATAGGGCGTTAAGTATAGTGAATTGGTGCCAAAAAGCTCTGGAGACGATGACCTCAAGCAAAAAGGTGCTGCCATATAATAAATATAATAAAATAAAGATCAAGAAAATGTGATTTTCGTAGCTCCATGTGAAGCAATTTTTAATACCTTTCAAGTACATTAAGTGGTATTTTAATTTTGGTTCATGGTATGTAAGATTAGAAGGAGAAGAGAAAATCATCCGAATCGGTTGACTATACCTTATAGCTCCCATACAACAGATTTGTTTAGATATGAGATTTTGATCCAAAATCCTTCAAAAAAGCAGCTACAATTGTGAAATTTCGGTTTCTACAGGAATTTATACAAGTAAAACTTTGTCGCCGAAAATCATCCAAATCGGATGACTATACCTCATGGCAGCCATACAACAGATTTGTTCAGATATTAGAATTAATATTTAATATTGAAGTGAAATTACACAAATTTAGTATGGTCATGAAAGATATACAATATAAGACAGCTCTTCATTTTTGTCTCGTTTGAGGATTTTTTTTCCTTTTATTGGTTTATATGCTTACTAAGGAACAGAAAAAAAATATACGTATGTGTGTATTGATTTTTAATATTATTTTTATTCATTCAAATGCCGTGAAATATAGAGCTTCCTCTACCTTTTTGGTAGCCAAGTTTTTTATATTTATGAGCCGCATACCCTGCTTCAGCCGATTCAATATATTTTTCGTCCTATGACTGTTAAAAAGAGAGTTCTTTTTAAATAACAAATTTTCAAAATAAAAATAAAAAATATATAAAACATTCAAAATTTGTTAATTTATAATGTTATGAATAAATATTTGCAGAACATTAGCGTTTCACTGCCCCAACATAGAAAACTTGGACTTATCCGAATGTAAGAAGATCACCGATATATCGACACAGTCAATAAGCAAAAACTGTTCAAGATTAGCAGCAATTAATTTGCAATCGTGCTCTAATATAACTGATGACAGTTTGAAGTATATATCAGATGGATGTCCGGTGAGTGGAAACTTTCTTCTAATTTATTTTAATTTTTGGATTTATTTTTTGTATTTTTTTTTTGTTTTAAATTTTTTCTTCCTTTAAGCCTGTCTAAATTTATGATTTTTTAAAATTACTATCAAACCCGGCCACGAAGAACCCTAATTAAGCATCGTCTAAGTCAAAATGTTAAGTTTTTTATTATATTATTCAGCTGACTACTTATTAGTATGTGCGGATCACTTCTTTGCTGCTCAAAATTTTTCACGAAAATGTCAATATGAATGCCGAAAAGTAAGGCAAACGCACTATTCAAATCTATGCTTATTGTCACCCATGATGAACGTATGAGAATGGCTAAGAATAGCGGATTACAGCAGTCGCAGAATGATAAAATTGCGAAGTTAACAAACCTACGCGCGATCTATGCGTCCCTCGGTGATTCATTTTTCGTAAAAAATTTATTATTTATATTTCGAGCAAGTTAAACTTAGTCCTCGTGCAAACAAAAGTATTTGAGTATTTGCTGCTGCCGCTTGCTCAGATAATCTTCAGGCGAGACTCTCATTTTTCCGCCAATTTTTGCAGCAATTCAACATAAACGCGCCGAAAATTCTCTTCCAAGGCGTCAGCTACGACCGAGACTTTATCTGCGTAAACAAGCGACTTCACATAACCTCACAAAAAATAGTTCAGCGGTGTTAAGTCGCACCATCATGGAGGCCACGAACGATGCGAGATAATGCGCTTGCTACGAATTTCCTTCAAATAATTGATTGTTTCATCGGCTGTTTTAGCATGTAGCGCCGTCATGTTAGAACCAAAAGAGGTCCACATCAACATCCTCCAATTCAGGCACGAAAAAGTTATTTATCATGGCTCTATAGCACAGCGTGCTGAATTTTTGAAGAAATATGGACGAATGATTATTTCCGCCAATAGAGTACACCAAACAGTGGCTTTTTGAGGACTTTATGTTGGCGTCTCAGTCATTAAATCAAAAGTGAGCTTCATCGCTGAATAAAAAACCGGTCTCGGTGTTGCATCTCGTTTTGGGTCCAATCACCGAATGTGCGACGTACTTGATAGTTGTTCACTTTTAAATCTTGGACGATTTAAATTTTGTAAACCTGCAAACCAAGGTCTTTCCGCAAAATCTTTCATAAATTGGACGTGCAGAGCTCCCATTGTTGCGCTCCGTATGGGCTCCTTCGGGTGTGTTCGGGTTTATACTTTTGCTCCACAGCCGCGATAGCGTCTTCGATGCACATTGTACGCTGTCTCTGAAAACGCACATTTTCACTACAGTAACCGTGGTGTGAGACCGATCCATGGTTGCTCGAATTACCAACTCTGTTGGGCGATTATGTCACCGAAAATTGGACGTAGAGAACGATAAGTCGTGCAAAGTGAACTATAATTTTGGTAATAAACTTACACGATTTGTAAGCGTTGATCCGGATACGACCGTTCATTATGAAATGGCAAACCAAACTGAGTATATGTAAATCAAGTATCAGCCTTCAAAAATATCAACGCCGAAAAATGTATTGTCCCATTGAAAACCACACGTCTTGAAAAGAGATAATTCGAAACTCAGTTAATCACTATGACGTTTTCTTGCAAATCAAAACCTCGGTGAGCTGATGCTGTTAAGTAAAACTTTTAATTTAGAGCAGTTTTTTTTCTGAGGCTACGTTAAAGAGAAGTAGTAGACCCAATACTATAATTTCAAAAGAAAAAAAAACGATCTTCTAAAAAGAATTTAAACTATAAATTGACTATGTGTGTATTTGATTTTAACTCCATTTCTTTTTTAACTTTCGATTATGAAGGTATTTTAACATTCTGAAATTTCAGTTTCAGTCACTACTCGCTATACTTGAAAATGTAATTTATTTTTTTTTTGTCTATTTTCAACTAGTTACTGTTATTGCAGAACAGTCTCAAGTGCATACCAGTTTTGGTAATTTGTTTGCAGCGAAAACTTTCTTTATGCAATTATTTCCCATATTATGACTGTTTAAGAAACTGTTGCCAAGTACGAAGTAATTTTCAACCCTTTTTCAGGACGCTGCAAATTCCACAAAACTCTCTGTCCTCACTATTATCTCATTTTTATTGGTTAAAGAGCGCATTCTGTTAGGCCTACATTTCAATTTCTCATATCTCTGTTTTCCAAATTTTTACTCTCATATAATATTTTTGTCTCTCAATGTCGCCTTGCCTTTTTATTTTTGCTTTTGTTGTAATTCGCTCTGTTTTGAAAATTTTTGCTGAACTAAGCGAGTTCTCTCTGTTTATGTACGAATTTTGCTTCGCATGTCCTTGCACATTCAGTTTCGTAATAAACAAACAAAATTGAGGCCAAAATACAGATATATATATATATATATACATATACCTAAATGTAAATGCTCATTCATATGATTTTTTTCTGACACTGTTAACCTCAACACACTAGCACTTGGCTTGTATGCGTATGTATGTATGTATGTGTGTATGTTGATTGGGTTTATTATTTGGGTTTCTCACAGCCATTGCCAATGGAGAGCAAGTGCTTTACTGGTATTTGTCCAAAATGTATACAAAAATTCATACACACACACACTCGCACTCACATTCTGCATTCTCAGACATTTGGTATGCTGTATAATATTTTTGGCCTACTTTAGGGCGCTTTTACAATTTTTTTTTTCCACCCCAAACTCTGCCTCAATAGTTGTTGCTATTGCTGGATGGATGTATATAGGTGTGGGTTTATGTTTACATATATTTTTCCCACGTTTTTTTTAACCCTCGTGCTTTGCGCGTGTAAATATATTTGAGTGTATATTCGTGATTGTTGCTATTTTGGTTGCATTCATCTGCCCACGCTTTTGCATGAAATGAGTTCATGTCAACTTGTGGTGTGGTCTGAATACTTGCATTCGTTTAATAAGAAAAATATAAAGAAAATTTAAGGGTTTGATTATATGTTTAAATGTACATAGATAATTTAAATTAATTTAATTCAATTATTTTTTAAATATTTTTGATTAAATTTTGCGCTATTTTTTTATATTCTATTATTTTATTTTAAATTAATTTAAGCTTATATTATTTTTTAATTTTTTTTTATTTAATTCATTTATTTCCTATTTTATTCTATTATTATTGAAGATTATTTTATTAAATCAATTCTATTCTTTTTTCATTTTATTTATTATTTTTTTAATCTTTTTATGTATTTTTTGCTTTCAATTTATTTTAAATTTATATTTTATATCACATATTTTAATTTAAATCCTCTTTTTTTATATTAAATTCCTTAAATTTTTGCTATTTTAACTAACATTTTGTAACTTTATTTCATATTTATGTAAGCTTTAGTGATTTTATTTTTAGTTTTATTTTATTTTCTATTTATTTCATTATAATTTTTTATTTATCATAAATTAATTTTTTTTAAATTTCATTTCATTTTCTGTTGATTTTATTATATTTTTATTTATTATAAATTTATGTTTTTGATTTATTTTATTTTCTTAAGTTAATTTAATTTAACTTAATTTTTTAATTTTCATTTAACTAAATTTTGCGTTATGATGTATGCATTTTATTATACTTTGTAAATATTATAAATATAAATAATATTTGGAAATAAATTCTGTGCAAACATATTTATGTAAGCGCATGTTTCAAGCTGCTTAAGCCCTTTGTTTATATTCTATGAAATGTCCTTGTACTGGCAAACATGTTCCCAAGTAGTTCAAGTATTTCAGCATATACCAAACATACAAATATGCATATATGTATGTATAAATATATAGCTTGTATATAAATGTATGAGTACTATATATAAAGATTTTGCACATAATAATTTGCTGGTTTTATTGCATTGGCCTACTTTCCAGCTGCTAGATATACACGCATTACTGTTATTTGGGGCTTCAGTAAGTACATTTAGCTCAGTTATATGTGTTTGTGTGTGTCAGTATATAAGTATGTACATACAAATGAAAGTTGGAATGTTATTTATTTACAACTAAAAATTCTCAGCAATGTTTCTTTCAAAACTTCAACCATGCGCTTACGCCTAGAAGTAGGCAATTGATTTTTTTCCACTTCTCTTAAACTTTCTTATTTGTGCACATGGAGAAAAAGAGCATTATTTTACTTCCTGTGCATTCTTTCATTTCCACATTCTTTTCCTTGGTTGTCTACAAATTTTCAAATTTTGTTTGTTTTTTTTTTTTACTAATACTCATGCGCACACACCTACTTGCACTGCTCAATGAATATGTGCTTCGTAATCCAATCAAATTGAGTCCAGTTTGTGGTTCTTGGCAATGTGCGGTAAATAGGCAGTATGTCATTATTTAAAGACACACACACACAAAATATACAACATTCATACATACTTATATGTGAGTGTACATATCCAGATGAATACAACGGCACAGCAACAATTTTTAAATGTCCTTCGCGTAGGTTGGTTATGTGTATGTACATATGCATATAAATTATATATATATATACATATAATGATGAGTGTATATTTGTGCTATAAATGAGTGCCAGCATCCTTTAACTTACTGTATATAGTTGCCCTACATTTTCCACAGCCATGGTCTCTATAAAGTACATAAGCGTCATTCATAGAAGAAGTTTGTAGGTACACTATATACAATCTTGGTATTGTATATATGTATTTTTATCAGATATGTGAAGGAAATTTCACTTTCATTCTCTTTTATATACTACCATAAATCCATAGTATTGCTTGTGTGTATGTATTTGTACATGTTCTTTTACTTTAAATATAGCATAAGTGCTCTGTATAATATATAAAAAATTATATATATATGATATTACAGCTGGAGTCCTGAGTAAACATACATATGAGACTCATTTGAGTTGGACTTTGCGTTTTCTATTTTAATTTAATTTTATTTTATTCGTTACTTCATTTAATTTTCTTGATAAGTTTGCTTTATTTTATTTTTTACTCGCTTCGTTTATTTTAATTTTCGTCACTTTTATTTTTTAATTTAATTTTTATTTGCTTTTAAATTTTTTTAAAATTTTTTTTTTTTTTTAATTATTTCAAATATTCCATTTTAGTTTTTGTTGCGTTTTGTTTTCTTTATTTCCGCTTTAATTCATTTTTTATTTAATTTACCTTTTTACATTAAAATTTATGTAGATTTCTTAAATTTCATTTAATTATTATTTGTTCTTTTAATCTTGTTGGATTTTAACTTTTTTTATAATTATTTATATTTTTATTTATTTTGTAATTATTTTATATATTTTTTTAAATTTATCTTAAATTTTAGTGGCTTTAATTTTGTTTTAATTCAGTTTTTATTTATTTATTTAACTTTTGGATATAATTTTATTTTCATTATTTTTTTATTATATTTAGTTTAGTTTTTATTTTATTTTTTACTTCAGTTTTTTATATCTAGTTTTATATCTTGTTATTTTTGATTCTAATTTACTTATTTTTAAAATGATATATTTTTAATTATACTATACATATTTTAATTTAACTATATTTTATTTTCCTTAGACTTGTTTGATTTCATTTTTATTATTTTTAATTTAGCTTTTATTTACTTTTTTGCATTATATATTTATTTTGTTATTCTATTTTTTTTCTTTTGTTTAATTGATTTTTAAAGCTATTTAGTTTTACTGTTTTTTGGTTTCTCTAGTTTTTTCAATTGGTTTATTTTACTGCAATATATATTCATTATTTCATTTAATTTATTTTATTTGTTCAACATTTTAATTTTTTTTTTTTATATTTCTATAATTATTAATTTCCTTTAATTTGCTTTTATGCTTTTATTTTTTACTTTCTTTATTTTAGCTTTATTATTTTTTTAATTTTATTTAATTCTACATTTTTTTCTTTTATCATTTTTTCCATTTTTATCAATTTGTTTTCTACTATTTTTAATTTAATTTCTTTATTTTTAGTTTAATATAATTTTAGTTTCAATATTTTGGTTTGGCTTATTTAATATTTATAATATGATATGATTCTTATTTCATTTATTTTTTTTTTTTCTTAAATATTTTACATCTTTTATTCGAAGTTTATATTTTTGTTGTTTTATTTAATAAATAATATTTTTTTATTCGGTTAGTCCCTTCTGAAACCCTTTTATTTTTATATTTTAGTCAACAATTGTTGCTATTCCTGGAATTTTCTTTAATTCTTTAAGGGATTACATATACATTTAGATAGGTATATAAATACATATTTGCTTTGAAATATTTATATATAAATTGAAATATATATATACCACCCACCATCGTGCTCTCTTTTTAATCTATTATTTACACCTACTTTCCCTGCTCTGCTCTACTGGTGACTGCGAGCTTTCAAGGCCAATAGACCAACCAACCAACCAACAAAGCAACTAACAATTCTTCTAGCCAAGCAAGCTACCAAACAACCGACTGAACAACTTACCATGCTTTGCTTCGACTTAATTGTCACAACATGCATTTCTTGCTTGTTGTTGCGATGTGGGAATAATAACGTTGGTGGTGGTGTTGGCGTTGGCGTCCAACTTGGTTGGGGTTTTCAATATCCGCGCGTGTTTTGTAAATACCTTCATAATTACATGTGTGTATATATATATGTGTGTAGGTGTGTGTTTTTTCCTGTATAGTGATCAATAATGCTCTCTACTGCGTTTAATATGTTTTACTTTGGCATTTTTTCTGCTTGGCTCTGTGTAAGTTATTCGATTGTTTGCCTCTGGCGATGCAATTGCCATGTTTTGTATTTGTAATTTTCATTCCTCTTCGTCGCTTTCTTTCTCATTCATTTACTTACGATTTTTTGTCATGTTTATTGTAAAAACAGCTGATGTCTGTTGGGGAATTTTTCGTTGGTCACTAAATAAATTTACTTTACAAAATCTATTGCATACTTTTAGGGAAGAGACATCAAAATTTTATTCCGAAGATATTTGAAGAGGATCTGTATATGATCTTGACTTAATCTTTGCGAAGTCACGTGTTCAACAATTAGCATTAATCCCAACTCCACGTAGGATTCGATCCCAAAGCCTACTGTCGAATCCAGTAAACAGCGCCAAACCTTAGACAAAAAGAGTGTTTGCTGCATAATTTTAAGGAAAAAAGCAAAATGTGGATGATATGCCTAAGTAAGAGTTTTACCTTCTACCGTGTCCACACAAGTCTGTAAGCAAAGGTTATTCCTTGTGCGTTGATTTGTAGATGGCGCTTCGAACTAATTGATGTTATCGAGCTCATCTAACGAGTGAGCTAAAGAGGGATGAGTCGCAGAGAAGTTAATTTAAAGGGTATCCAAAGAGGTGGTTAGTGCCATGCGGAAGACTCGTTTAAACGACTTTAGGCCGAGCTCCTTCTCCGATATTTGGCTCGCAGCTTAATATTTTCGCAAAAAATAATAAGCCTTTACTTTGAAGAATCTGTTTAGTGGGTGTAGCCTGGCAAGTTCATCTGCCCTACAATTTCTCTTTGTAACCCTCTTCGTTTAGTCAACTCCTGCAGAGCTCGCGACAGACCAGCAAAATTTTTGAATTCGTTGTAAGCGGGCCAAGCGATTTAGTCGCTGCCTCAATAAAGCTGAAAAAAGATATCCTTGCTCGTGAGTTCAGTTCCAATATAGTTTGATATACACTGCAGGAGAGCCAACTCTTTCAACAAGTGTCGATTCATCAGTATAAATCTCAATAATGTCCACAGGGACTTTTTATTTCTCAGTATGTAAATATTTATAATTTCTACAAGGCTTGAATGCCTCTGGGGCCTCAAAAATCAGTATTCTTGTTATTATTTCAAGTTAATTGCCACCAATATTAATAACGGTAAAACTTTTGCCTATAAGAATTTTCCTTACTTCAATATCTCTAAAAAAAATGTAAATGGAATATTTCCTCTCTCTTTCAGAACCTACTTGAAATCAACATTTCATGGTGTAGTTTAATCTCAGAGAACGGCGTTGAAGCCTTGGCGCGTGGCTGTAAAAAGCTGCGTAAATTCTGCAGCAAAGGTTGTAAACAGGTCAATGACAATGCCATCTCCTGCCTGGCAAAATTCTGTCACGATCTTATGGTGCTCAATTTACACAGCTGTGAGGTAATTTTGATAAATATATAAAAATTCTTATGTATATAGATATATATGTATATATCGTGTGAATAATTGCAATAAAATACACTTTCCATATTTATAGTCAGTCACCGATGCCTCGATACGACAGATTGCCGCCAATTGTCATAAGTTGCAAAAGCTATGCGTTTCAAAGTGCGCGGAACTAACTGATCTCTCCTTAATGGCACTCTCACAGAATACTCCGCTACTGAATACGCTTGAAGCATCCGGATGTCGTAATTTCACAGATATCGGTTTTCAGGCACTGGGTAAGAATTGCAAATATTTAGAACGTATGGATTTGGAAGAGTGCAATCAGATAACCGATTTGACGTTGGCGCATTTGGCGACCGGTTGTCCAAGTTTAGAGAAACTGGTAGGCAGATTACTTGGGTTGAAGTATACTTTCAAAATATTATATTATATATTAAATGCTTTTGCTCTCTAATTAGACATTATCGCATTGTGAGCTCATCACTGACGATGGAATACGTCAGCTGGCCGCGGGTAGTTGTGCAGCTGAAAGTTTATCCGTCCTCGAATTGGATAATTGTCCATTAATCACCGATCGTACATTAGAGCATTTAGTATCTTGTCACAATTTACAAAGAATCGAGCTATTCGACTGCCAAATGATATCGAGAGCAGCAATACGAAAATTAAAGGTAAGACATTAAGGTTTCTCGCTCCTGGAGAGAGTGATTCGCGAAAAAACACGTCGTATGATATCTTTATGCGAGGGATGAAGATAAAAAGGAAAGGCTTTTTCTAAAGGTATCCCGGTAAACTTCGCATAAAAATCCTATAACCCAAGATCGCTCTACTGGATGTCATTTCACGTGAAATTCAAAAGGATTTCAGCAGGCAGCTTTGCCTATTTTCTGCAAAAGAAATTTTTCCAGTCCAGAAATGGTTTCATTTCCCTTAAAATCGTATTTACGATTTGTTGTCAAAATTCGCTGTAAGCAAGCTGTTTTCTCATATTTACAGGAAACTAAGATTCTATCCACTTTATCTTTCTAACAGAGAGAAAGTCTTCCACCTTATCTCTTTCCTTCAGCTGCAATGTCGGAAAATATTGTTGTAGTTGTAGTAACCGCAAAAATATTCCCCAAATTGGTTTTCGCAGACTATTGCGGATAAAAATCTGGGTCGTTAGGGTCTAAAGACTCGACGGCGCATGAACAATTAGATTTTTATTTTTTTGGAATTGAATTTAGTGCCTTACTACGTACAAATTCTTGAGTACCTAGCCCGCTCCATACAGGGACATGAAAACGATGAGGTATTTGCAAAATTTATCGAGGGTACAAAGTCCAAACTCTAAAAGCCTGCTGACAAAAATATGTCTGCGGAAAATTTCAAGATCTTTCATTGCACAAAGGGAATATAGGGATAAATATTTCCATGACACACCCGACTATTGCGAGAACTCTTGGAATTTAATTACCCAGTTATAGCCCACAACCAACAATATTTTTTGGGACTCCAAATAAACTAAAACTAAAATAAAATAAAATAAAATAAAATAAAATAAAATAAAATAAAATAAAATAAAATAAAATAAAATAAAATAAAATAAAATAAAATAAAATAACATAAGCCTAAATAAAATAAATTAAAAAGGAATAATAAAAAATTTAATAAAAACTGAAGAATAAAATGAAGCAAAATATAGCAAACTAAACTAAAATAAATAAATCAATTAATTAACAAACATTAAAAAATTAAATAAAACTATTATAATAATATTATATTATCACATTTCATCACAATTTTTTTATGTTCTTCAATTTCGTTGCAGAATCATCTACCAAATATAAAGGTACACGCCTATTTTGCACCAGTTACACCGCCACCAGTTACCACTGGACATCGACCACGTTATTGTCGCTGTTGTGAGATTCTCTGAGATTCGGCCATTGGCTTCGCCAGGAAATTCCTGTGCAAGGGCCCTACTGACTGATGTTTGTATATATTTACTAGTACATTTCTAATTGTTTTGACGATCATAATGACATCGCTAACACTCATGTATTTCTTCTCAATGATTTATTTTGTTTTTTGAAAAATGACGAAAATATGTTATATGTATTCATGTAATAACAAAATGACATGTGAAAAATGCAACAACAAAACCAAGAAGAAAAACGGGAATAACAAGAACAAAAATTATTATAATAACTACACCTGTAAACCAAGAATAAGAACAACAAAAACGAGAAAAAAATACGAGCAAGAAAGGTCATTTAAAGAATGCACCAAAATAATATATGGATTGTGAAATGATGTATGGGTGGAATTTAGACAATTAAAAAATAATGTATATGTCAAAAAGAAGAAGAAGAATGGATAAATTTTAATGAAACGATGTGAAAATTTAAGGCACAGTTGAAATTGTAACGTTTCAGTTAAGCACGTCATGATATACATACATACCTACATACATACATACATATATACATACATATTATCCACCTTCATGCATATGTTGTAAATGAGATAAAAATTTTTTAACGAAATTCTAAAATCAAAATATAAAATGCACAAAGCTAAAAGAAGAAAAAAATTAAGACTAACCGTTTAAAGCGAAAACTTGAACAAAAAAAAATCCAAAATTGATTGTGTGTAATTTTAATGGTAAAGAACTTTTAATTTTAATGAAAATAAAAAAATGAAAATAAAAAGAAAAAATCAATTCAAAATTTTGCGTAAAACGCTTTGCAATTTTACAAATATGTATATGGAAATATTTTCGCTCATACATACCACATAAGGGAAATTGGAGTATTAGGACAAGTAGCAATATACACGTATTTATATCAAAAAACATACATATGTAGATACGTGCAGATATACAAACATATGTATAGAAGTGTTGGATGGAATGCACTTGGTGGCTTTGGTGAGGTGTAGCAAAATATTTGTGATTTTATGCGATTTCGCCTATAATTATACTTACCCATATACATACATATATACATACATAAAAACTTATATGTTACATATACATTCATTACAAATGACACATTTAGGTTTTTATTGTTGTTTAATTTTCAATTTTTTGTTAAATGTTTTAGTTTATAACGTTATTTTCTTCTTTTATTTTTATAAATACAACACTCATACAAACGAACTACATGCAAATGATAATATTTTATTTTATTTTTTTACATTCGAAAATTGTAAAAAATCGAAGAATGCATACAAATACACATATAATATGTAATATATGCTGAAGTTAATCCATAAACAATATGAAATGGACCTTCTCAAAGAAGGAACATTATATTATATATATATATATGTATGAATAAATGTGATCCAATTATATAGATGCAATACAATAACTAAAGGGGAACCTATGGATATGCAGTTGCATATGTCCATCCATACATACATATGTATATATGTATGTACATATACGAAGTATATGTTATTGAACCTACTAATTAACTGTGCACCGTAAACGCCCAACTATTTCGTTTCGACTCTCACGACAGCCGGTTCTACGCACTGGAGTTGACCCGGATTTTTTCCGGCCAAGGGCTGTCATTAAACACGACGATCTACTCCTGTTTAGGTTGTCAATTTCAGAAAAATTAGCGTTTTGCAGTTGTGCAGGTTCAATATGCACATTATTTGCAACAAATAGACGATGGTACATATATTAAGTTAAATTCGAAACTTGTTAAAGTAAAAAAAAAAAAATAATAATTTATGGTATACATACCAAGATTGGATTTTTATATGTTTTATTGCAACTTTTTTCCTAAAAACAAATACTTTAATGTAAAAACAATATTTACTTTCAAAATCTTTTTCAATCTTTTTTATTTTATTTAAGAAAAAATTAAGGTTTCGCTTCCATTAAATCCTCCCAATAATGCGCTGACTTATGTGTTTTTTAAATATTTTTTATACACTTTTTAAGCAAGAAAATCTTATTAGAGTTGGTTTCCACTCGACAAGCGAAACTGAAAGTGATAAATAAAAATGGAATCGAAAAAGTTTTGTCAATTTGTTTATTATTTTACTCTAAAAAAAATTAAATTCAACTTCAAAACCACTTTCTGCGCTAATAAATCGATTTTCATGATTTTTTTTACGGAAAGTAGCCAACAATTTACTTTTATGCATATTTAATTAATTAAATTGTCTAACTTATTTCTAAATGCGGCAAATGCAATGAAAATTGTTGATATTCAGAAATAAAGTTGCAATGAATTGATTAGAGAAGATCGCAGTGTGCTTCAGAATGATGTACTTCTTTTTAGGTTCATACTATGAAAAATTAGAAAAACTTTGGTTTTAACTTGAAAAAGCCTGAAAAATATGATTAATAAAATATATATATATATCTGTTCGACATCATACAAAAAAAGCAAAATCACAGTTCCATCGCCTTTCTTAATTATTAATTCTTTTACGCTTTCAATTTTTCCTCAACTCTGCTCGATTTTCGTAATATTTTTCTAAAAAAAAATCCTATATTTAAGTTTACTTAAAATTATTATCGGCCACGGTAGCCGAGTGGTTGGCTTATTGCCATTCGGAAGGCTCGGGTTCAAATCCCCGTGCGACCAACATCTAAAAGTTATAAAAAATTAATTGAAATAAAAAATTAAGTTAAATTTTCCAATTGCCCTTCCGAGTATATTTCTGACAAAAAAAGTTGTATTTGTTAAATATCATTAAAAAAGAAATCATCAATAGTGCAATTGAATTTTTTAAATAATTTTTTATTTACGCTTTTTTCCCTTAACTCGATCGATTTTTGTAATATTTTTCTAAAAAAAAAGAAAAACTGGCATTTAAATTAAATTAAAAAAAAAGAGATCAAATATTGAAAATATATCAGATGTGTCTGGAATTGAAGATTGAAATACTAAAATAAATTAATTTTTATGCAAAAAATAACTAAAAGTATCTACATGTTTATTAAATTTTAACTGAAATTATAATTTTTAATTAAAAATGTTTAATTATATTTATATAAATTGTAAAAGCTACACTTTTTTAATTAAATTGCTCATAAATGAATATGAAAAAGAGTTGTATAAAAGAATTCTTAATTAATAAATTAATAACGAAAAATACTGCTGTACGTCGATCTGTGTTTTCTCACCACTTTTTGGCTCTTAATTCGGCCACTACTCTTTTTTTTTTTAATTTCGTTTGAGTCAGCATTGAAAAAATTAATAAAATTAATTTAATTTAGCTGAAAGCAGCTTAATCTAATTTTATTATATTTTGTCTGTTAATAAATCATTAAAAAAAAGTATCATTTCTCACACAGCTTCTACATACATAAATTATAATGATAAAAGCATGTACTTCTTCGGTATATACAATTGTGTCACCTGTTTATGCTAGTGTATTTACTTACAATATATAAAAGGGTTTATATAATACATATATATATATTTTTATCAATTGGCAGGCGAGCAACGAAAAGTGATTAGTAGAAAGAAATTATGTGATAAATTTTTGTGTAATTCATTAAAATATAATTATTATTTGTTCATTAAATTTTTTGTAACAATTAGAAACACCAGAATTATGTAAGCAGACACTTTTCAAAGGTGTTTAGGAGTTTGTGAAATTATTACGATTAAAAAAGAATAGAAATAAAAATTAATTATAATTAAAGATTTATGTGAAAAAAACAAACAAAAAAAAACTATAAAATTAGTATCGAATACGTTGAAATATACTAATTTTCGCAAGCAAAAAAAAAAAATGTTTGCAACAACAGACAGAAAAATAAAACAAAACAACAGCGATAACTACGAAACGTTTAAACACAACAAAAATTAGAAATAAACCAATTTGTAGTTTAAACTAGTTTGTTTACAAAAGGAAATAAATTATTCAAATAAGTAGTTGGTGAGGAAAAATATAACTAACCAAACAATAGAAGGGATGTAACGAAATATCGTAGAAATAGCGATGAACAAAATACAATTACAAAGCAAAAAAAAAAAAAAAATAATTAATTGCAATTCAAATAAAATGTTGAAAACAAACGGAAAATTAATATGTAAAACAGGAAAGTAAACAACAATAGCGACAAACCAACAAACAAAAAAAAATATACAATAAATGCAAAGCTAACAAATAACAACAAAAGAGTAAAAATTAAATAGGCAAACAATAAAACAACTAATCTTAATTTTTAAGTAAGTAGATGTGTGATAAATGCTTTTAAATTTTTAAACTATAAATATTTAATATTAATAAATATATTAATTAGAATGTATAAAGAAACATAATAATTATTCATAATATTAATGCGATACTATACGTACACACATACATATATATGAAGAAATAAATAAATAAATATAAATAATTACTATTAATTAATTGCAGTGCGTATAAAACTATAAATATATACAAAAAATATATTAAAATATATATATAAACGCATACATACATATAAAATATGTGTAGTTACGAAATACAAAAACAAAAATGCAAAATACAATACCACAAAGGTAAAACAAAAAAATTAAATAAAAAAAATAAATAAGTAAATAAATAAAAATGGAAATTTTAAAAAAGCAAAACTAAAATTCGCATCTATTATATTTATGTATTCGCTAAATTTATTCGTAATTACGATCTGATTGTGGCTTATTAGATACATATGTTTTGCGCAGGAGGGATGTGCTTTTATGGGGAGACGTCGTCGTGTGATACAATTTTATGTGTAATTTTAAAGAAAGAGAAAATATTTACAAACACAACAAAAATGTTTTAAATATTTTACAAAATTAAGAAGAAGAAAACTCATCACTTTGTATACTTTGAATTTAGTTAGATTTTGTTATTTTTTTTTTACTTTTTAACATTTGTTTTGTTTCTTATTTTTTTGTATTGTATTTTTTTCTAATAAAATAATTTTTTCTAGCCACGTTTATAACACGTTAGGATTGGCTTTATATGTTTTATTTTAAGAAACAACTATTTTCTGTGTGTCAAAGCTGACTTATTATATTTTTTTTAATTTTTTTGTTAATGTTATTTTTTAAAAATAGCATTTTGAAACAAGTTCAATACTAATAGCGAAAAATCAAGTAATTGGTTAAAAAACGTCTTATTTTAAAGCCATTTTATTTTGCGGATGTAGTTTTAGTTA